CCCCAAGCGCAGAAAATCATGGGGAGTTCCCGGCCATGCTTCCACGTCGACGGCCAAACTGAATATTCACGGCTCTAAGGTCATGCTCTGTATTTGGTGGGACCAGCTCGGCGTAGTGTATTATGAGCTGTTAAAACCGACTGAAACAATCACAGATGATCGGTATTGAACGCAATTGATGCGTTTTAGCCGAGCAATGAAAGACAAACGGCCGCAATACAACGAGACACGATAAAGTGATTTTGCAGCGTGACAATGCTCGACCCCATTTTGCGAAAGTGGTCAAGACATACTTGGAAACGTTGAAATGGGAAGTCCTATCCCACCCGCCGTATTCTCCAGACGTTGCTCCCTCTGACTATCACTTATTTCAATCAATGACACACGGCCTGGTTGACCAGCACTTCCGGTCTTATGAAGAAGTAAAAAATTAGATCGATTCGTGGATCGCCTCAAAAGATGACTAGTTTTTTCGACGCGGGATTCGTACGCTGTCCGAAGGATGGGAGAAAGTAGTGGCCAGCGATGTACAACACTTTGAATCATAAATGTATAATCAGTTTTTTACAATAAAGCCTCGAATTTTGGAAAAAAACGGCGGAAGCAAAGTTGTACAAATTATATATATATGTGTGTGTATGTGTGTGTGTGCGCGCGCGCGCGCGCGCGTGTGTGTGTGTGGGCGTGTGCGTGTGTGTGTGCGCGCACGCGTGCGTTTGCGTGTGTGTATAAACATACAGCTTTGTTTATGTACTTGTTTATTATTAATTTTATATTTATATTTCTTTGTTATATATTATATAATAGAAAATTAAAAATAATATTTTTATCGTTTATATTATATAAAGTTTTCTTAAAATATAATAGAATAACTTTTCCGAATAATCAATAGCCATGATGGACGAATATCTAGAGACGGAGAGCGTGCTCTGAATGTGTCCCGATACTCGTTCAATTTCAGGTGTTAAGGCATACTTGTCATCGCCTGAACTAAATAAATAAAAAACTTTTTGCCTGTTTTTTATTTCATTTACTATTCTCGCTTTAGCATAAGAACACTAAAAATTAAAATATCTATTATATAATAAAATAATATAGAATTAAACATAAATATGTAAAATATTAATAAAAGAGAAAAATGTTCAAAGATAAATATCTTTTTAAATATCTCATATTTAATTTATATTCTGTCTTAGCATTCTGTTTTAAAAGCCTGTTTTAACATTAAAAAAAGTAATTATACAGAAGACAAGCTTATTCATTGATTTTGATAAAACTAGGATCATTCGATGTATTTTTCCACATCTCGTCATCATATGTATATGGTATACAAATTAATGTATTTGGGAGAGATAGAATTAAGACGGATTATTTTGACTAAATCTGGTTGTGGAAAGGGAGGGGGGAATATTTATGGAAATGAAGTTAGGGTGTATAATGATTAAGGATGTCGAATCTTTATTATATTGGGTGGAAGGGACGCAAAGGGCAGGAATTGTGGAAAGAGACGTAGTGGCCTTAGAGTCATCTGACACTGAACATATGTTTACAGTCTTATCTGAATCTCTTATATATGTACGTGCTTTTTTTGATAAAAACTAATAGGTTTGATATTATTTTTGATATAGATGTCCTGTTTATATGATATCCAATGGAGTTTATTTTCCATTATTTCTTTTTCTCGAATAAAATAAAAATAGCATGATTTTTCTTGTACGTTCAGATTCGACATCCTTAAAGATTCGACATCCTTAATCATTATCAAGAGACACGGTAGTGTCTCGCGCCAAGTGGGCGCGCAGCGCGAGACACTACCGTGTCTTTACGCGAGTCAGTGAGTTGCGAGCATCCCAAATTATCAGTTTTTTAATAAAGGCTAGACTGATCGAGTTCTGAATATGAGCTCCATCGACAGCTTGGGTCCGAATTATATAATAAGCGTTTATTTTACCTCTACGTGTCCTATGAATGGAGATATCGTGATGCGAAATCCAAAATGTCAAAATTATATGTAAGATACGTCATCGCCTCAAAAAGTCTCTTTTTCATGTTTTCAATGGTAAATGGCACTCGTTCATTGCTGTCATTCATTAAAGTCACCAGATAACAAAGTACCGCAATGAGCTTTCGAAGTGATTGCGTCAAAATGGCGGACCTGCATCATATGCACTATTCACGCGATGTTTTGCATCATATGTATTGCATTGCAAAAGTTTTTCTTTAATTAAGTTACTGTATAAGGAATTGGGAAATGAATGAACGATTATAAATGCTTGGCAAGCCTCAAAATCTATATGTGAGTAACACATACTTTCGTGCACTTTTCTGCACTGAACTTAGGCTGAACAATAAAAAAACCTATGTTAGACTAAAATCTACACGAATTAAGCATTCGTATAGTATTTCTTTTGGTTCATAAATAAATTATTTACAATTAAAAAATTGATATACATATTTTACGGCTTTATTTTCCCAAATAAATTGTGTTTATACAAGTACATAGTTTGAAAATGACTGAGTTCTGCATCAAGATGGAGGCAAGTTTGCGGTACTTTGTTATCTAGTGACTTTAGCTGTCATTTACCGATTTATTTATCTATAGTTTCATTAGCACTGCATTATATGTCGACATTTCACTGTATACTTTAATACTTTAATAAGTTACTTTTAAATTAAAAGTGTATAAAAATATAAGACAGGCCACTTAACCCTTTGGCCTACAACCACGAGTGAGAAGGAATTTGGTAAGTAAGACTCGTGGTAAGGAGTCTGACTCGTGCTCATTGTTTATGGACCAAATTCCTTACCACGAGTCTCACTCGTGATTGTAGGCCAAAGGGTTAATGTGTGAATGTCATTGCATATATATTCATGCCGTTACCAAATTCACGATTGTAGTCTCGTGAATTTGGTAACGACATGAATATATAGGCAATGATTTCAACATAATGCTTTTAAATCAAATAAAAGATTTATTTGATTAAAAAAAATGATGTTTATGTTAAAGAAATGATGTTGAATTCAAAGAAATTTTTTCTTGAATCGTATAGCAAAACATTTATTTAAATCGAAGAAACCTTTCTCTAGGTGTAGGCTCGCGAGTCAAGATTTTTCTTTGACATCAAACCAGTCAATTTTTTCTTCAACAGAAAAATAACAATTCTTTGAATGGAAGAAATCTTTCTCGGGGTGCGCCGTTAGTATTCGTGTACCTACCGCTCATGGAAGTTCAGACACTTGCATAAATTTTATCGAGAGATCATGTACAAAATTAAAATTTTACAAAACAGCAATTGTATTATTTTTATATATATAATAGCTTGAATTTACAAACTGACACGGAGAATTTGAACTCAGCATACGAGTGTTTATTGGCTAAAGTTTAGATTTCAATCTTTTTGTTATTTATAATTGACGGTCATGCGAATTACATGTATACTGAAGATAAAATAATCGGCAAATTGTGAACGAGGGCATTTGCTTGTTGACGATAGACATGACAAGTAGCATGATTTTCGCACATACTAACATTATATCATGTAAGTTAATATCAATTTTTAATTTATAACTGTATTTACAATTAAGCTAGTACTGGTAAATAACATACGATAATGTAGTGTTCTAGGGGGAGCACATTGATGTAACTTAGTAACTAAGAAATATTGATCAAGATCCGATACAAGAATTGAAACGTATATTTTAATACAATAAAGAATTTGACACACAATTATACCTAGTGATTGGACTCGATTTGGCATTGAAACACATATTGATGTATTATTTTTTAAATATATTTTAGGTCGCTTGTACACATACTAACAATTGCAAAAGCTTTATAAATTAATTTTAATTTTGTATGTCAATGTTGCCGGCGGCGGGAGCCTTCGATCTGGTTCACCCGTTAACGACAATTAAGACGATTTATTTTTGCGCCGGGTTCGCTCGGACGCGTCGACGGAGCCCTCTCGACCCGTCGCTCTCCAGATTCGTACTGACTTTCGTCGCGCAAACTCGAACGGCTCGCGGCTTTGATTTTGGAAGCGATAACGCGATTCGCCGATAACATCGGCCCAGCAACGAGCGACGAATCAGGGGGTAACACACCAAGTACGACGAGGGCCTTTTTTCTGTATCGAAAGACTCCCGTCGTCATCGGCACACAAACACGCGCTCTTGACATCGACATTGCTCGAAAGTCGAATCAACAAAGATTCGAAGCGAAGAAGTTTCTCGAGCGATCTCGACTACCGCACGAATTAACGCTCTAATTCCGAACATACCGCCCGCCTCGTATACGCCGGATACGAAATACAGCAAAAGACGTGGCGAGATCGAAGATACTCTCTCTTAGTCGCAGCGCGAGCTAAGGAACGCAAAGGGCGACAGTGATTGACGCTAGCCGAATAAAGAACTTTAAATGACCTTATAGGTAGGGACGAAAACACAATAAAGTAATTAACGCTAAATGTACAACACGTCTTAACTCGCTCTAGAAGTAGGGGCAAATGACAATCCATCGGTCGGTTTCGCTTGTTCCGCGAATAAGATAGCCGACGCGACCTAAGTCTAAAGTAATATAACGAACGTTTTATACGTGATACGTACAAACCAAGCGCCCGATACTGACAAGGATCGGCGCAAACCAAAACAAAAGAAAACGAACAAGAAGGAGAAAGGCGATCAGTCGCTTTCTGACGCCGACGCTTTACAATTTATAGGCAACTTGTACAGTTGCGTTATAGGTCGCTTCAGTAGAGAACG